CTGCTGAAAATTTATTTATGTTGCTGCAGTTTACAGCGGCAATGTAACAAGTGTAAACATTAGACAATAAACTTATTTAATTAAGCTCTCTCCTGTGTCTTATCTGTGCAAGATACAATTCATATGTATTTTCTGATTAACATGCTTTGTTAATGAGTTAGGTCTGGAAGGCTCCCCTTTTCTCTGTTTCTCCTTTCTCTTTCCAGAATATAATTCTGATGAGATTTGTCATTAGGGCTGCTAAAAGCTTGTTTTCTCCTATCAAAATCATTGACCTTTCTGCTTAGCTATGAGCAAAGGCTTTTTCTCTTTGATTTCACGCTTTGATCTTTTCTCTCTTCTCACATTTAAGTTGAAAGTAACCTGGTGTTGTTATTTATGCAGGTAGAATCTTGGGCAAGATTTCTACTTAATTTCTTAGACGGGAAAATCTTGCTAATTATGCTTGCTAATCCAACTTATTTCAGAGGCAAGACTTTGATACTAGCAGGTGCTTATTATGACACTCAGATACAAACCTTTAAGTTGTGGTGGTTGTGTGCATAAGTAGTTAGTATATTGTCACACAGTCAACTGCTTCTGAAGGCTTGTTTGGCAAATCACCTAGAGATGAGTAGAGTAAAATAAAGGACTAGTTACGTGAAAGTGTTGCAAGGAGAGAGAGAGAACTGTAAGGATATGCTATCTATCTCAGTTAACTCATACCTTAAACAGCATCAGTCAACCATTTTGGTTTGCACCAGCAGATATTCTGTTGTCATCGTCAGAGTCTGTATTTTCCTAGATTAAACAATACCTGGATCAGACAAACCAGTTTTCTCTCCAGCTAGTTTAGTTCGGGCTGGGGGAATGAGGCAACATCTTCAGGTGTAAATCATAAAAGAAAGTGCCTGAAACTGCACTTTCAAGTGTATTCGGAGTATGCATGTTGTGTCCTTGTGCAGCTTTTGCTGCTCCTGTTGCAGAAAATTACATGTAGTTGTTTAAAGATGCTGCTTGTGCATGTGGCCAAAAGAGTAATGTGCTCTTCCTGCTATCTGAGTTCAAGTTAATGTTAAGTAGATAAGCTGTCTATCTTCCTTGTTTTGAGCAGGTGTTACAACACCAACTAGTCACTTAAGTGTCTTCTGTATCCTGAAATGTAAGTGTAGTGATGGAATAGAGGAGGGAGAAATAAGCCATTTTGAAAATTAAACTGCATTTTTATTACGATTATTCTATCAAGGCTTGAAAGACTGAGCAGTTAGAAGAAATATTTTAAGTCAGTTACGTAATTCCAGATAAAAATATCAGAATCATTCCTACAAATACTTTTTTTTGACTCCGCAAGTAATGCGAAGGATCTTTATTACACCAAGAGTTATACTTCTAAGCCATCTAAACCGGGCAGTTTTCAACTACATTTCTCACTGTGCAGCTTTAGAACTTCATAAAAGGAACTTGGAGCGGTTGTTCTGTTGCACGTTTCAGTGCCAATGCATAAGTATAAACTCTGGCATCCACTGCAATATGTTCTTCTGCTACTAGTTCTGCAAACAAACAAAAAAAAAGAAATGCTGTTAAAACTTCCCCTCTCCATAAATCTAATTAAATCCATTACTAAACTGAAGATATATAGCAGTCTACAAAGCAATTATTTATGCTAACACCTAATGCTATAACCAATCCTGTTATTTGGCCAAGTCTGAGTTTTTTGTTTAAGATTTAGTGTTCTAGGGTGAGAGAATGTCATCAAAGAGCTATGAGAAGAGAAGCTAAGGGTTTCTTAAAGCTTACATTAGTGCATTTAATGTGTCAGAGAGCTCTTACCATCAATTCTTTGCAGTAGGTCATTCTTTGGAAGTGAGATAACTTCCACATATTCTAGGAGAGAAGAAAAAAACGTGTGTGTTTTTTTTTTTTTTCTTCATATACCTTTCAATTAGTTAACATAAGGGAAGTCTACCTTGGTCTCATTTCATGCAACTTAGAGGAAGAAACAAAGTGGAATCATGCTTATCGTCATCTAAAATCTGTGGGCCTTCAGACATGAATAAGGAAGTTAAATGGGGGGGGGGTAGGGTGGGGTAGGACCAGCAGGCACTTAAAAAGCAGGTTTAGCAGAAAGAAATGGGGAAAGAATCAGGAAAAATTCAATGCAGTTAACACGCATGCAGGATGAGAGGGCCTTTCTGAAAGGAGACTGTCTCCCTTCTAAAACTGGATAACATCACACTGTTAAAAATCGAGTTTTGTTTTGCTTAACTGGTATGATAATGGCTTTTTGGATATATTTGACTGAAAGCCAAAGCAGCACAGTATGTAAAGAACAAAGGGCTTGTTCCTGATGTTCTGGATGAATTTGTTTTCCTATACCTCCCCAGTGAGTCCACTATCTGAATTAGTTGTCTCTGGGGCTTAGTCTACAGCTGTTTTGGATTTAAGTAGCTTATATGGCATTCTGGTGCTAAACTTGAAGATACTTGATGTGATAACGCCCAACAGGACTTTTCACGTGTAGGCCAAAGTCAATGGAATATGTGCTTGGTTAGCATCATATCAGCACTGTACAGAAAATTAAGCAAGCCCAAACTAAAAACAGAGTTTAAACTGACACAGTTTCTGAGTAAAGCCTGCTATAGGAAGATCACACTTGACCTTACTGTTACTGGGAGCACAGTTATATGAGTAACATACCTCCATCATCTGTAAATAAAAAAAGAAAGTCAGGGGTTTTGAAATACACTAGACTTTATAACTAAAACCATAAAAGTGTTTTCATATCTGACTGTGAGTGAAACCATAGTTACTTCCAGGGTCAAGCCACAACTAAGAGTAAGGAAGATCTAAGTTCACAGGTGCTTATGGCCCTCATTGATGTTTGGCACCTACACTTCTGATTCTGAATATGCCAACACCTGACAGTTAGCATCCAAGCCCCAGTGAGTTTAGGAAAGAAACATGGTTCTTCTAACCTAAGACTGCAGGATAGGATCTGGGGCATTTAATTCTAGTCTCTAAGTCAGTAAGGACAGAAGAGAAGGATGCGATGACAGCGTTAGTTCCATTTAATCAATTGGTGAGTTAGTGTCTTCTAAGAATTTTCAAATAAATGGTACAAGACTCACCAAGTTTTTGCTTAGGTCTTATATTCTTAGCATCATCTCCATTAATGGTGACAGTCACAATGTGTGTTGTGCTGTTAGACAAACCTGGGTCCAAGCAGAGAGCTACAAACAAGCAAATGTACAGGTTCATTTCTCAAAAGCAGGAAATCAGACACCTTGACATTTTAACAAAAACGTAAGTTCATGCTGGAGGAGTTTGCACACGTTCTTAAAACTGATGCTTCTATAACTCTCATCTCCTTTTCTACAGGTTCCTTGTAAGACTTGCGTTTTTAGCACTTAAGTTTACTTTTCCTTCTATTTCCTACAGTGTCCTTCCTTTCTTCCCCCTACTGCAAAAATTACATGCTAGCCTGTAAATTAAACTGTAAACAAAAATTCCCCTACAGACTTCCTCAGGCACCAATACTGAAGTCTAATTCTGCCATCAGCAGTCTCTATCCCTCTCAGCTCCCAGCACACAGTTGTATCCTGTAACCAAGAGCTAAGTTTATCTGTTAACAATGACATTTACTTGAAATCATGCCTAAGTTGGCTCACCTTTCTCCCTTCTCACAAGTTTTAAGATCCTAGTTTTGCCTTCATTTTGTGTTAGGTAGGAAGCACTAGATTAAGAGCAATCGTGTTCCAATTTACTCCAATTTTGTTCTGCTTTCTTCTTGCCTGTTAGACAACCTGAGTCTTGTTATCTTCTCACGGCTGAAATGAGGGCTCTCTCCTACTCTGAAACTGCATCATGCAGCTGTTGTTTTCTCCCTGAGTGAGTTCATGATTCAGATTGAGTGACTGAGTGATTGTTCAGATTGAGTCCAGCGATTTAGACCTTTACACTAAAATGCCAAATCACAGCTTGATATGTTGCTTTTGTGTAAAGGATCTTAACTCATAGCAAAGTTTTCCTCTATAGACTTCACACTGTTACTTTAGCCCTGTTTGTGTAACAGGCGTTCAGCAACTGACAAAGGCTCATTGATTCAGCCACAGCCTACTACTCTCTGCTAATCTAAGTAGTCAGATTTTTTCCCTTAAATTTAGCATCTGTCAGACACAGAATTAGCTTTGAATGGGAAAGAAAAAGAAAAAAAAAATGCAGAGACCTGGAGTACATTCAACAACTTCCCCCGTGTATCCAGTTTCTTCCTCCAACTCTCGCAACGCAGCACTTTCCGCAGTCTCATTTTCCTCAATGAGGCCTGTGAGATAAATATTACATGAGAACATGTTAAAAGTCAGCACTTGTGCACAGCATCCAGCGTGAAATCTAACCAGCTTTACAAATGAGGTAAAACATCCTCATTGCCCTGTTTTTACAGAGGGAGATACTGAGGCATTAGGAAGGATTCAACTTCCTGAATTCGTCGTTGCTGCTGCCCCTGCCTTCAACTGATCATCTCATGGATCATGCCACCTCCCTAGAAGATGGCATTAATATCCTCATGAGGGAAAGAAGCCAAATTCTTTGGCTCTTACAGAGAGGAGGAGTGAAGGGAGATGAGAGTATTCTACCAGACTACTGTGCAAAATCTCTCCAATATGCTAAAATGAACCTCGTTTATTTTGTATTCCTCATTATCAAATATTCCTATTTTTGAATAGCACACTGCGCTACAGGGACCACCACTCATTTCTCCTTGGAGCTACTTCTTCAAGGCTGACATTCCAAGCACACTTAAAATAAACTGTATAATCTTAATATTTCAGTTACTTACCTGCAGGAAATTCCAAGCAATAGCCGCTAATTGGAGGCCTGAACTGTTTCACTAGGACAATGCAGTCATAGTGGAGAGTTCTCTGCAGGATAGCTATCACTGCTACACCTACCAGCAGAAAGACAAGACACCACCACACAGTACTTGAGCGTATCAGACAGTGAGGGTTTATTGCTAGATCTGGGAAGGAACCTGAGGACTGTAAAACTGAGCATTAAAATGACAAGCATTTAGATGCCTGCTCCAAAATCCTGAACTATGAATTTAAGCTCTTTATATGATGCATGGTGAGACACAGAAGCCTAAAACGGGACCTTCAGAAAAACCAGCAAACCAGAGGCGCGTGTCCAAGCAAGAATGAGCCTCAGCCCACTTGAAGCGAGGGAAGGGCTCTCTGGCCTGCAGAGGCTGCTTGGAAATCGTTGCGAACCCTCTCCTATGCTCCCTTCACCGCTAAATCACAGCCCTTGTTTGCCCAAAGAGAATCATATCCCTAGTCCCTAACGGCAGACCCAGTCCATCAGTCTGTGAGCCGTTCTGCTGCAGGGCACCCATCACATCTTTGAAAGTGTTCCATTGCTCTAAAGTTAATACAATGATCTTGGGAAAACACTCGAGCCAGCAAGGTTCTGATTCTTCAGCTTTTAAGGCAGCTTTTTGTTAAAGCGCACTTGCTCAGTGATAAGGCACACGACACAAGCCCTGCTGA